ATTGGAAGTGCTTCTTCCCTCCATCAGTCTGCTCTTACAATCTAATTAGTATGATAGTGATTTCACCTGACTAGTACTCATTCACACTTTCACATGTGCTGCTGATATGATTAGTCAATGTTAGCTGGTCATTTTGTGTCAGGATCAAAAAACAGTGAAATTTGTTTTTTTTGTGTAAAAAAAAAAAAGTTCATTTTTTTTTGGTAGTAATTTAAAATGCATCTGATCACTCAACACAATAATCTAGAAACAATGTGAATGAACACCACAACAGCTTAAGCAGCAAACTTCGCAAAACTCAATTTGTCACTGCCAAAACTTGCACGCACACTCTGGAAGGCTCCAGTATTGAAGATGCAAAGACAAAAAATTTAACTTTTTGGCAGTAATACCAAAAGCCATGTCTGGAGGAGAAATGGCTCTGCATATGACCCTAAAAATACCATACCAACAGTGATGTTTGGAGGTGGAAGCATAATGGTATGGGGCTGTTTCTCTTCTCGTGGTATTGGCAAAATCCATATTATTGAAGGGAAGATGACTGGAGCCAATTACTGGGAAAATCATCAGATTAATCTGTTGCAATCCACCAGGATAAGGTTGAGACACAAATGGATCTTCTAGCAGGACAACCATCTGAATCTATATAAATAATGCAAAGGAGACACTGAATTGGTTCCAGAGGAAGAAAATAAAGTTGTTGGAATGACCCAGGCAATCACCAAACATGAAACCATATTTGTGGAAGAAACTAAAGATCAAGATTCACAAGACGGTCCTCCGGAATATTCAAGATTTAGTTTGTTCATACAGGAAGCGTCTTGAAGCTGTCGTAGCAAATAAAGACTTTTCCACTAAGTGTTAAATACAATTTCAGCAGGCGTGTTCAATACTTTTTCCCTGTGTCATTTCACCTTTATTACACATATATATATATATATATATATATATATATATATTATGGATTGTAATATTATGATTTCCTTATCAATGTATTTCCTTATCTATCCATCTTGTTTATACCAACATCTGGTAAACATTTCATTGCAATTGCTGCAATGGAATTGTTTAATAAAAAAAAAAAACGTTGATGTGTTGAATACTTATCCCACTATATATACAGTGGGTATAGAAAAGAATCACCCCCTTTAAAATAATCACATTGTTTCTTTGAAGCCTGAAATGAAGACGGACACACTTTTTTGTTTTGTTTTATCCAGCTGTATTTACTCAGTGCAACTTACAACATCCAAGTTAAAGATATAACACCAACATGTCAGAAAAAAATTACATTTAAAAACCGGAATTTGAAAAACCAGGAGTTGGAAAAAGGATCACCCCCTTCTAAAATTGACTTGTAAACTCAATCAGGTGTAGCTATTAACATTCTCAATGGCACACAAAGCCATTTGACTTTCAACTGTGATCAGCTGTGGTCATTTCGATCAGCTCTGCATGAAAAGAGCTTTCCTGGAGCATTTCAGTCCTTGGTAGTGCAACTGAAGCAAACAATCAACTATGAGTGGCAAAGCACTGTCAAAAGATCTCCGGCATGAAGTTGTGGACAGGCACAAGAATAAAATAAAATTCAATGCCTGGAAGCACAGTAAAGTCTATTATTAAGAAGTGGAAGGTATTTGGTACAACACAGACCCTCCCTGGATCAGGACGTCACTCCAAACTGGATAAAAGAGCCAGGAGGAAACTGGTCAGAGAGGTTACCAAGAGGCCTACAGCAACTCTGAAGCAGCTGCAGGAATTTATGACAAAGAGTGGTCATTGTGTGCATGTGACAACAATATCACACATTCTCCACAAATGTGGCTTGTATGGGAGGGTTGCAAGAAAAAAGCCACTCCTCAAGAAAGGCCACATGCAGACACAACTGAGCTTTGTCAAAACACACCTTGAAGATTCTGAGGCAGATGAGATTAAAATTGAATTATTTGGCCTCAACACCAAATGATATGTCTGGCGGAAATCCAGTACAGCTCACCATCTAAATGACAGCATTCCTCCAGTAAAGCATGGAGGTGGTAATATCCTGTTATGGGGGTGTTTCTCTGCAGCAGGTACTGGAGCACTTGTCAGGATAGAAGTCTAGATATGCTAAGTTAGTAGAGTCATATCCCAACAGACTAAAGTAATTAAATGCAAAAGGTGGTTCAACAAAATACTGACACAAGGGGGTGATTCTTTTTCCAACTCGGTGATTCTGTTGTTTGTTTGTTTTTTTCTGACGTGTTGGTCTTATATCTTTGCATACTGGTAAAAATGTATAGCCTGAATGCATTGTAAGTAGCTTTGGATAAAAGCGTCTGCTAAATGCATTAATTATTTAAATTAATATCTTTTAGTTGTAAATACAGCTGGATAATACAGCTGTATATAAGATATAATGATGTCTGGAGGATAATGTGACACTGAAGACTTGAGTAATTGCTGCTGTAAATTGAGCTTTGCCCATCCCAGCAATAAATTATATTTTAAAACATAAAAAAAAAAAAATAATTTCAATTGTAATGATATTTCACAATATTGCAGTTACTGTATTTTTGGTCAAATAAATGCAGCCTTGGTGAGTGTAAAAACCATTAAACAATCTTACTAACCTCAAACATTATGTGTGTGTGTATGTAGCATTCAGTTACATCATGATAGTGGTCTGATTCTGAACAGTTAACATGCTAATAACACTGGGACTGTTATCAGAGTCATAGATGACACATACTGAAGCCTGACCTTTGCCAGCCACACACACACACACAGTATGTGCTTGCTGGATTGGTCTTATTTACATAACAATCGGTGAACTACAGTAATACTGATGTATGCCGATGGCATCAGAGTGACCGGTGACCTTTGCCGATGAGGAATTGTTGGCGACCTTTTCCTCGTACAGCCAGATGCATTCATACACACACACAAACACATTCCCTCAGCCTGCTTACACAGCCACTCTGCCGTATCTCAACTCTGGCTCCATAGTCCCGACACGCACCACTGGCCCCATGAATGTTAATGCCGACGTTGCAGGATGGGGTGCACACTCTCTCTTTCTCTCTCTTGCACAAGGGCGAGCAAGCAGACATATTCTGCTGGGGCTTAAGAAATAATCACAGTGCATTTGCCCCTGATGGGGTGATGGTGAGAGCCGGGAATTCTGGGTCCTGGGTAAACCTCATCAGCAGAGATGGGACTCAACTTTCCCCATTGATCCTGAGCATCTCTCCTTTACCACTCTGCTTCTCCGGGTTCTGTTTGGATCCAAATGTATGCGTTGTGTGACGGCGGCAGTGTGCTGTAATCCTGAACGCTGGTTGCGCGTTTCTAACAGGGATTTCAGATTAAGGATGGGCCTGTTAGCCTGGCCTCAGCCCTGCCCCAGCTTTTAATCCTCAATTGGCCTATTTACTTCCAATTATTTGATAAAATATAAAGTAAAAAGAGTAGTAATATGAAACATTATTACAATTTAAAATGCTTCTAATATGCTGATTTGGTGCTCAGGATATATTTCTCCTTATCAATGCGGAAAACAGTTGTGCTGCATAATAATTTGTGGAAACAGTGATGCTTTTTTTCAGGATTCTTTGATGAATAGAAAGTTCAAAAGAATAGCATTTTTTTAAATATATTTTCTAACATTATGAATTTTTACCGTCACTTGATCAATTTAATGCATCCTTGTGAAATAAAAGTACTAATTTTATATATAACATTTGAACAGAAGTATACTGTGACACTGGATGTATTGTATTTACATATGAACATGTCTAAGACTATGATACTGTCCAAAATATGATACTTTTTAAAATGATATTATTTGACCAGTGACAAAATCTGTTGCTTTCAGCAGAACACTAAATGTTGCCTTTGAGTTGAGAAATTCAGTTATGCATTCAACCTATTGTGTTCTGTTTGTTTTCAGGTCCGAGCTGTTTCGTTCCCTGTTTGCGAATGGTCCAGTGATGGCACACTGACTGAAACATGCTTAAACTCTAGTGTGTATGTGCTGTATTGCTTTCACACACACTTCAAACCTACCCCAGACTCAAACCTAGGTTTTTGTTTCGAGAGTACCTGTAAATGAAACTAAACTTTTCTTTTGAATTGTACAATGTCACATTTTAGTGCCGATTTGTATTAAAATACCATTTTGTCAACAGTGTTTTCATTGATGCTTTAATTTTACACTTAGTACATGATCACATGTAGTGAAACCAATATGCACATCTGTTTTACCCTCTCTGGAAGCATTCTGTAATGTAATCCGATTAGAGGTATCAGAGAAACCTTCTCCTCCAATTATCTACCACAAGCTTTGGCTGCCATCATTTTAATTGGGTATTGAACTGCCGTGATTCAGTTTGTCGGTTGGTAGGTAGTATGAGAATAGACTGTGAAACCCACACAGAGGGGACTGAATGAGACAATGATTGCTGAATTGATAAATCAATGGAAGTGTGGATCCTTCTGTCTGCCATTTGATTTCTCTCAAGACTAAAGAATAGCGTGAAGACAAGCACTGATTATCTGGTGGTAGAAACAGTCACCAAACCTAAGGATTTTTGTTTTTGGCTATGCTCATTTGCATACTTTTATTGTGTGACTTCCCACCCTCTTTGATCCTTAGAATTTACGGTGCTGTTTTTGTTATTGTACATTTATGACATCTATACATAGATAACCCATTATTAACAGCTAAACCTTTGCTTCCTAAATTAGTAACAGTACTTTGTTGTGAATTTGCCCGTTTCCTGCATTACATTGTGTCAGGTTGACAAAAGGAATTCATGATAAAACGTAACTGGGGAACCCAAACTCATGAGTCCAACTCGAAGGTATATCTTTTAGAGAATTTCAGAGAGGATGGGGGTCTCACTTATAGAAACTAACCACTGGGGTACCTCAGGGTTTAGTGTGTGGCCCTTTTGTATAGTATATTATAGAAAACCCTGCTTTCCATAACATGATCTTTTAAATGAAGATTGAGCCAAGAATTTAACGTAAGAATTTGATTTTATTTAGTAATTTTTTAGAGGCAATTACAGCTTGCCACAGTAAACAGGAAATCCTCCATTTTGACAAGAGAGAGAGCTTCTGAGCTCTTCAGTAACACGCTTAGCAACACTTACAGACGCATGAGACAATCCAGCACACGATGGGTCACAGCATGTCAACAAATCTGACAATTTTCACCTTTCATTGGGTCAAGTGCTAGCACTGGAGTGGCAACAACCATCATGATTCCAATGAGAGTGAGGATACAACGGAGCATCATGACTGCCAGTTTAAATTGTGTATAATATTCCATTCACCTCTCAAGTATCCTTTGCCACTTCCATTGTTTTCATTTAGTATATATATTTACACTGCACTCCTGACATTGCAGAATATGTATGTTGTAACAACAATCATGTTCTACAGTTATGCACTTACAGTACAGTCTACTATGTTGAACTACAGTGTGCAGCACTTGATGATGACTTAGACATGTTTGTTTAATAAGTTATTAACGACTTCTTTGTATTATATCATCTATGCTAAAAAATAAACATATTTATAAGTACAATACCAGTGGATACACATTTTTTATTTATTTATTTTTTGGTTAAGCCACAAGGGAATGAAAAGAGCGCAGTCACAAGTGTGGTCATATGGCTCAATCGACCATCCTGTATGTGAAGAATAATACCATGTCTACAAAACGAATGATGCGACGAAATACAGCTACATCACTCACGAAGCAGGAGTGATCTAGTTATGACATCGCTTACTCTCAGTGTGGATGGGTGTTATAACCAAACCGTTGTAGGAGAAAGTTTAAAGTTGATTTTTAAGTTGCAATGTTCTCCCTTATACAGAGATCCTCTAACAGCAGCTTTGGGAAGCTTGTTTCTACAATTGGTCTCTGTTCAATCTAAGTCTCAAAGTGCACTTGACTAGACTGCAAAACTAAATGACAACACTAGTACCTTTTTTTACTTAAGTGTTTCTAAAGGTGCGCATTGATGTGCATTCATAAGTTCTGACACCGAGTATCTGTTATAACTCGTACTTTCAGAATCATAGCCAACAATGTGAAGTCAGTCACAACACTGCCATGTTGGCTCCTCTAGTTCTAGTTTCCAGTAACATCAGGCCTCTGAGATGATTGTGTGTAAACAGGGCTCTACGATGACGCAGGGGCGTCCATGGTGGACAGGATGCGGACCACCTCAGCACGCTGCGTGGGGGAAATGTGCTGGGTCATGTGAACAATGGAGTCCATGGCCACTTCAGGGTTAGCTTGAACCAGGCTAAGAAAGATGAAATGACCAAAACCGGTTATTTAAAATTACTAAATATATAAAAATGACATAATTACATGGATAAATAGGGGTATAAAAATGCATTGACCTGAAAATGAAAATGCAATGCTATGATTTAATAAAGTTTAAAGTATAATTAAAAAAAAAATCCAAAATACACTTATATTTGCATATATTTAATTTTAGTAAGAATCCAAACCCAGATTCCCAATCTAATTTTGGTGTGGACAAGTTTGTTTGTCCCTCAAGTGTCCTCCACCTGCAGTTGTATCAATTTAAACAAAAAATTATTTAATTAATAAAAAATATAATAATAATAATTGTACAAAACATTCATTGAAAAATAAAATAATTGAAAATAATTAAATTAGTAGATATTACTTATTTTGATTCACTCCCTCAACAACCAGGATTTCCACAAATCTAGAAAAACCTGGGTAGCCTATATAAGGAAGTCTGGCTTTTAAAGTATGATATCTAGACCAGGAAAAGTCATGTAAATCAATAAAATCTTAAAGTGGCATGGACATTTAAAAAAAAAATAAAGAATGCACATTTTACTAGTTATGCCAAGCTCTAAAATATTTTATCGGGTAGAAATGAAGTAAAAAAATATTTGTAAAAATCCTAATCCTTACCCCAAACAATCTTGAACAACTAGAAAAGTCATGTTCGTAAGACTGGTGTCTAGATGTTACCTGCGGATCTGTTTGAGGATGTGATCCCTGCGGATATATTTGATATTCTCATCGATGACAGATCTGGCACCCTCTTCCTCTGCCAGCTGCCTCTCCAACCACTCCACAACATCCTCATTACTGTCCCACAGATAAGCCTGCGAGAGACAAACAAAAGAATAATACATAAAAAAAAAAATAAATAAATAAAAGTGTTCAACACACGGAACTTGTTTGAAGCATCCTGCCAAACAAACTTTCTGACAATGTTTCTATTTGAAAACCAAATCACAATCCTAATCAACGGCTCTTCATTTAGGCTTAGACTGATAACATCAGGCTGATCTGAAACAAAGCTGGACTTGTTCTTGTGAAGATTTGTCGAGGCGTTAATGGGCTTCCGCGCTTCTAAAAAACGCAAGCACTTGTAGTCGGGCAAGAACATTTAATGCCCCATATTAATCATTTTTAATCCGTTTGCTTTTAATTAAGAAACAGCGTGTTTCTCTGCTATCTGCGCATGACAGGGTGGAGATTAATTGTAGCTCAAGATAGCTCTCTCAGATTAGGGTAATGTATTAGTGGTCCAGACACCGTCTTCTGCAGATACTTTAACCTGCCCTGGGGGCTTGGCTCTGCTCCAGGACCTGGTGTGGCGACTCTTCTGAGGCCTAGTCGGAGCTCGGAACGTTCATCCATTCTGATCATTTCTAACTGTCATATATTCTCTGGCCCACACATCACTTCAAGAAAAGAAAGACTTGCTATATATATATATATATATATATATATATATATATTTTTATACAGTTCTTCTGACCAACTTCTAGCTTGGCTGGTGCAGCAGTAAATTTCACATCTATAATGCACTAAAACTACCAAAACAACTTCATGACTCAAATGAAGTCAATGTTACATAAAAACAGTAAAAGCATTATACTATTTATTTTTTTGTAAAATATTTACAAAACAAGATTGAAAGCTCTACTATTTCTGAATTCACTGTAGCATATGTCATGTTTACAGTACACTACAAAATTATTCATAAGTTGTCCCCTTTTGTATAGATGGTAATGAAACTGAAAGTCTAACACTTGTGTACGTGTTTAGCTACATCTAAATATTTCATTATAATATGTCATGTTTTAGATTTTTATATAAATCGATAAATCGGTATTACTGTTGAAATGTATCACGGTTTTATTCAGTTTTCTACTATGTTAATTTTTGAATTAACTTTAACGGTTTAGGAGAAAAAAACAAAAGTACATAAATATGCAAATTGGTCTGTAGGTACAAAGAGTTTAGTGGAGGTTGTGTCTGAGTGAGAAAAGGATTCATGTAATTTAAAAGATGTAGTCAATGAATGTATTTTGTGCCAAAGCAATGGAAAATGATCCACAGTCTGCTTTTGTGCTCATTGTGTGAAGAGTTTTTTAACTTAAAAGGTAGGGTAGGTGATTTGCGAGAGGCTAGCAATAGCAAGCTAGCTTTGAAAGTAAAAGATCCCACACTCCCTGCAAATCACTCTCCAAAGACAATATAAATACATTTAGACCACTTAACTTAATGATTGTTGTCGGGATGTGAAGAGACTTTTAAAACAGCATAACAAAAAAAATTTTTTTCAACCAAATCACCTACCCTGCCTTTAAGTATTGAGAAATGGGTCCTGGCGATTGACTGCCAATGGTCAAAGTTTAAGACAAAATCCAATTCAAACCCAAAATTGTTTACTTTTGCTTATTAAATGTGTACATATGTTTTTAGCTAGATATTTGACTTATGCCGAGTTCACACTGTACGATTTTAGCCCGATTTTTCACTCGCCGACAAATGCCCGAAATCGGAGGCAAATCGGTGCTCGTTCACGCGAGTGACAATCACGCAGTGTGAATGATCAAAGACGCGATCTGAGGGAATCGCCGACACGTCACCTGCAAAATATTTGGCATGCTAAATATCTGGAGCTGTCGGCAATTCACAATCACGCAGTGTGCAATGATTTCTGACTGAAAACTACATCAGCGATGACCTACAGCCAATGAGAGACCAAGATACAGGGCAGAGGGAAGTTCGGGGAGGAGTTATAGACCAGAATATCAGTATTTTAATAGATATATGAACAATTATATCATACAGAAACAAGCACAGCATCAGCATAACAGTTACTGCAAAATTATTTACCTCCAACTCTCTTTGCAGAACACCCAATCCCTGTTCCCTGCATCTCCCTCCTGCATAATCTGTTTTTCTTTTTCTCCTTGTAGCTGGAAATCAGCTCACAGACAATTTACAGGCTATATATATATATATTTTTTTTTAAATTCCAGTCTCGCTCGAGAACTCCGGTCTGACGCACGTGGGATCTCGCGTTATTTCCTTATCACTTCTCGTGTGTGTTTTGTTGTGAAACGTAGTTTGCGGACCAGACAGAGCTGTCGGCGATTCTTCCTATTGTAAAGTCATGCAATGTGAAACCCCCTGTCGCCGATCCATCGTGCAATGTGAACACAGCAGCGACTGACTGCTACCTCAGATAGTCACGCAGTGTGAAAACAACGGCGATCCGACGAGTTTGAAAATCACGCAGTGTGAACTCGGCATTAGCTAAGCTGACACTTAGCCCCACTGTACACATCTAATGGGAACTGAAAAAATGAACAAAAAACATCCTTCTGTAACAAATATATTAAAAAAAAAAAAAAAAAAAAACATCCTTCTTAAAAAAAAATATTAAAAAAAAAAAAAAAAAAAACATTTACTCATTTGCATAAGATTTTTGTTGGTGATCTGGAGAAAAGAGATTTATGTAATAGTCTTTGGTAACGTACTTTCACAGCTCCCTCTGCTTCCACGAACCAGCGGCGGAGCATGGCCTGAACCTGGCCGTCCGTCAGCTCACTGTTAGCACACTGGATCTTCCTCTTAACAGTGTCCTCCAGCAATAACCGCCGCAAGCGCCAGTAGAAGAACAGTCGAGATGTCTGCCACTCCAGGACATCCTGAACACACACACGCAAGTCCAGATTAATTTATGGCATAGTTAATAACTGATTCAGGTCTTATTTAATTTGAGCTTCTGATTCTTCAACTGCGGACAAATATGAAGACAAAAGTACAACAACTAAAGTGGGGAAAGAGCAGACTAGTATAAGCTAGTATAAGCTGGGAGTGAATGTACAGCACTCTCTCCCACCTTCAATACCACGACTGAGGTGCCCTTGAGCAAGGCACCGAACCCCAACTGCTCCCCGGGCGCCGCAGCATAAATGGCTGCCCACTGCTCTGGGTGTGTGTTCACGGTTTGTGTGTGTTCACTGCTGTGTGTGTGCACTTTGGATGGGTAAATGCAGAGCACTAATTCCGAGTATGGGTCACCATACTTGGCCACACATCACTTCACTTCACTACTATAAGAGTTGAGTACTGACGGTGATGACTCCTTTCTCCTGCATGCGGCCCGGTGTGTCATGAAGGTCGGCAAACTGCACGGCTACTTGATGATATATGGGCAGCAGGAACTCTTCTCTCTCTTTCAGTTTACTCTCCAGCTCTTTACGCTCAGATACACTCAATTCTGGGGTGCCTGAAAACACACACAAACACAGAATGGATAAATGACAGGCAGGTATATCAGTCAGGCCAATTCATCAGCCGACATTTAGCCTTTTTGGAATGTGAGGATGAAAGTTCAAGGGATCACAATGGTAAGACGTCTTCAAATCAATCATTATTTGCCATAACTGTGGCATTTTTTATTTTATTTTTTAGTGATATTATTATTATAATGGGTTTATTTTTGACTAGGTTTAGAAAGGCTGCATTACCTAAAACAATAACTGCTAGCTATTTCATATCATTAAATATTAACCATTGGTTGAATTTATTACTAGAGCACATGGTAATGGAACGGATGGGTGCTGTAGCTAGGAAGAGTATTAGGTCTTATTTGGAATTGTGGTCACCTTTTATTCTTTTTTTTTAGTTGAGGAGTGATCAATGTATAACTTTTTTTTTTTTTGTGCATGTGCGAAGATCATATTGGGTATTTATAAAAATCTGTTGAAGGCAGGATTCTATATCCTTTAATTTATGTAACTTCTGTAGTATTACATTTCTTCTGAACTATTACATTCAATCTATGTAACTTCTGAACTATTAATTATGTGAATCGCGAAACTGGCATCGTGTGTTTTGTGTTTGTATGTTACTGTATGCTTTTTATATTGTGCAGTGATGTTAAATGTATTTGAATAATATTAATAAAAAACAAAGCTATTTAAAAATAGCTTTTGCTGTTAATTGCTATATTTTTGACTGAGGTGGGATCAACAAAAAGAAAAGTGAAGCAAGCAGTGTTTTTATTAACTAAAATTATTAAAATTGTCGTTAATTGAAGTAAAATAAAATATAAAAAAGTTAGATAAAATAGAGATAAAAAGTTTAAACTTTAATGAAAATTAGAAGTGTTGCCTTGCCAAATTACAAAAGCTAAAACTACAATTTAATCTTAAATGAAACTGAAAATATACAAATAAAAGCTAATTCAAAATGTAAATAAATATTATAATAGTATATAAACAACACTAAAATAACACTGGAAATCAAGTTATTAAATTTTAATGAAACATTTAGAATAACAAAAACTGGTGAACAGTGAAAAAGAAACCATTAAGATTTCATGCTGGCTTAAGCTAATGAGCATAATTCCACTATTTTGGATTTTATGTAGTGGTCCCTAATTCCGTACATGAAGATCAGCAAGAATATTTAACACCACAAAAGTGTTTCCAACCGAGGAGCTCTCCAGGATCGCACAACAGCCTGTGGCTGTACGAAAGAGATCGATCCCGTCAGAGCTAATCATTCAGCGTGGCCGCCTGCAACACCGCAGGCCACTATGGTGGCACGGTCCTCTTTAGTGACTGCTGACGGGGTAATCGATCAAAGGAGGTACAGAACAGCAACAGGTCTGATTGAGCCGAGACTCCTGTGATTGACACGTCTCCTCAGGGAGAAGAGAAAGGGTCAACGCAATCAGCAGAACGCAGCGATGAGGTGCTTTAATATAACACTCATACACATCCAATAAAACAAGATAGGATTTCAGTGGAGAGACAGGGCACTGTAAACAACTTACCCAATCTTTCTGCAAGCCCCATGTATACAGGGTCCACCCGCCTCATGGTCTTCACCAGGTCTTTTTTACGGAACTTGATCTCCACCGTGCCTTCAGGCTCCAACACGCCACCACTGCAGAACACACACTCATGAATCAGTTTATTCAAATAGGCTATTACAATGAATCCGTTTGAAACATTTATTCAATGCTTTTCTTGCATCATCACTCAAAATGGCCTGCCTGTAAGGTCTAAGCACTTAATTTTTTTATTTATTCATATTTTATGCAGTGTTAATACACTGTTACAAAAAAAAAAAAAAGATGTGGTGCACAATGACAAACCAAAAACAAACCAAAACAAAAAAAACTAAAAACAAAAACACCAAAACCAAACAAATCAAAACCATACAAAGCCAAACACAACCAAACAAAACAAAACCATACAAAGCCAAACACAACCAAACAAAACAAAACCAAACACATCAAAACAAAGCACAACCAATGCAGTGTTAATACACGGTTACAAAAAAAAAAAAGATGTGGTGCACAATGACAAACCAAAAACAAAACACACCAAACAACAAACAGGGTTCGTACACATTTTTACCAATACATTTCCATGACTTTTCCATGACTTTTGAGACAATATTCATGACCTAAATGTTCCATTATGTCAACTGTCCCGAAACGTGAGTGAAAGTCTTGTATCGCAGCGTGCAGCGGCTCTTGTAGCGGCAGACAAGATGCGCCGATGTGAAGCCGTTTGAAGAAAAAAGTCAAAGAGAGAAGACGCGTACAGCTGAATCACTCACGCTGTTTTCAAATGACTGATTTGATCAGTCTGTGTGGACTGGACTCAGTCTGTAGGTTTGATTATTTACTCATCAAACCTACATGCTATAGGCTATTGAATAAATGTGTGAATATCCATCATTTTAAAGTCAAAAGCAGCAGGAATGAGTAAAACTATGCGATATAGCCTATGCGCAATCCCGCACCGAAATTCAGGACCTGATTAAACACAATTCTATTACACAGAGTTTTGTGAAATAGATTTCAATGACTTTTCCAAAACTTTCTGGGTTTATTTATTTTTCCAAAACTTTTCCAGGCCTGGAAATTGGTGTTTTAAAATTCCATGACTTTTCCAGGTTTTTCATGACCGTACAAACCCTGAACAAAACAAACCAAAACAAAAAACCTAAAAACAAAGACCAAAGCCAAACAAAACAAAACCATACAAAGCAAAACACGACCAAAGCAAAACCATACAAAGCCAAACAAAACAAAACCATACAAAGCAAAACACAACCAAACAAAACAAAACAAAACCATACAAAGCCAAACAAAACAAACCAAAACCATACAAAGCCAAACAAAACAAAACCAAACACATCAAAATGAAGCACAACCAATGCAGTGTTAATACACTGTTAGTTACGTTTACATAAAATAAAAATAAAAAAGATGCAATGCACAATGACAAACAAACTGGTTCTTACCGGCTGTCCTTATCTGCATACATCTCCATGTGGCGAAGGTTGATGGTGGGGTCTATGACGACCCATGACCCTCCCCTGAGCTCTGCCTGCGGAGGGATGTACACAAACACTGGCTGGCTGTATTCTCTCAGCCCGTCCACTATATATGCTCCAAACTTCAGCACCTGGTCATACATGTCTGAAGACAGGAGAGCATGAGGTGTTAGCAGAGACCATCATAGCTCACTAAAGCACATCCTACTTCATTTCCCATATCACTGACCTTTCATCCCTCCAGAGAAGCCCCTCCAGTTGGCAAACACCATAAGTGGAAGCCCCTCTCTGTTGAAGTCTTTAATGGCCTGTGCAGTCTTAAAGGCAGAGTCGGGGAACCACACTTGCCCTGCTTGTTGGATGATCTAAAGTAAACAACATAAAACACTGGTCATCTTACTGAAAGAAATCAAGTGACAGAGTGTGTGAGTGTTTCTTAGTGGTCACCTTTGCTTCGGAGTCCAAATTCGCTGGGTCTGCTGGGATTGACAGCTCCACTGATCGGGTTTCCACTGCAACGACTCCAGTTGGGATCCCGCCCAACCTATAAAATTTGGCAAGCGAGAATGTGTGTTACACAGGGACAGATTAAACTAATGCTCAACAGTAAAAAAAAATTATTAAAATTCTAAAAATGTATTATACACATTTTATCCTTCAGTTAAAGGGATATTTCTAATTTTCTAAAAATTTATTATATTTCTGTACAGCAGGACTCTTAAAACATTTACAGTATCCCAATCACACATTTAATTTTTTATAAATTATTATTTGATTGCATAAATTAAAAATGTATCAAAAATAAATATTGATTAAAAATAACCAAACAATTATCAAAACGATTATTTTAAATTAGGCTTCGTCTAAATTAACTACAATTTGTAATTATACTTCTTCATTCAGTGGACTTAACTAATAATTAATAATTTTTTTTCCAACAATGTATAAAATATTTGAAATTTTTATAAAAAATTTTTTTAAATAGCATGTAAAAAATAGATCAAAGTAAACTGAATAGCAAAATAAGGTTTTATCATGCAGACAAATACTCTAAAATGTAAATGAAACTGACACATTCATTGTCAATCTGTATTGTGGCAGATAGCTAAAGGAGTATGGATCAGAAGACTGATGTGAAACTAATGTTCCCCACAGGAGCTTTCAAAGTGCATTTATCAGAGCAGGACCTTCCCAATTGACAAACGCTGCCCTATAGGAATTGAGATCAGAGGTCAACACAAGTTCACTGAGGAGTGTAAAGGCTTAGATTGTGTGGTTAATCATTACAAAAATAAGTATTTGTGAATATGCATCACTGCATTTGCCATTTATTTAAACAACTATAAGAAGTATATAAAAAGTATACTTCTCAAGAAAACCCCTTCTAAAAATGGTTAGTTCTGAGAGCTCTACAGATGTTTGTTTAAATTACAATATCAGACCAAGTGCCATCTGCAAGTTTTAGGACTTGCCTTAGAGTCCCAGTACTTTTTGGGGCGACAGTATTTATTGGTGCTTACCTGGCCCGCCCTACGATTACACTCTGTGCCCACGGCTGCATGATCTCCAGAAAAGAGCCGTGGTCAAAGAAGCCGCTCACCAACGCACCCTTAATGTCTGTATGGAAGGAGAGAGCCCGTTAGAGCTGCATTAGCATCCTATCTTCATCAGAAATATGCTGAGCTTAACCGAGGGGAAGCACATGCTTGCTGCAGGATAGGGTTACCATTAATTTACACCTAGACCTGTCTCTGCACTGAGACAAAGATTCTTCTCCATGCAATCTGTTCTCGGTATCTCCCCACCTCACTGTGGCAATTACAGTGATGTGTAATCTGTCTCGCCAATAAAAAACACTCCATATATCCCAGTGTCTTATCTCTTGAGTGGAGAGACCTAGTTCTGTGCCTCAAACAAACCTTTAGACCACATCCATCCATTACTGGACACTTCCTCCATCTAATAACAAATCACTTAGCACAATTAATACAAAAGATAACACTGTATGAGGCTTCAACAAGCTGACAAGTTGAGCTCTTTTGACAGCATAATGTCACTGACACAGAAACATTCCTCAGCGTCCCTTGTTTTTTGTTTTTGAAGCAAGAATTTTTATTACAGTAAGGCACTTACAATGGAAGTACATCTAAGAGGGTCCACGATAACAATCTTTCCACATATGCTGTCAACAGAGCTAAACGTGTAATGAAGTCTAGGGTTGCAGCATCTACTCACTCTGACTGGGACGTCCTGCTAACATCCAGCGTGGGTCGTAAGGTGCCTTCGTAGGAACAAACTCCACTGGCCGATCGATAGGATCTTTAGCACTGAGCATCGGCACAGGACTCGACCTATTCTGAAGGAGAACAGCACTGTTAGACTCGAATTTAGATTCTCTGGGTTTCATGTCACAGTGTCTTCTGCATACCTTTGGCATGTAAGACAGCCAGAGTAGTAATGTAAACACTCCCTCAAAATCATCACACACAGTGGTGTGTGTGACACCATTATTGTGCATGATCTGTACTCCACCCAGCTGGTTATTGGAGGTGTACACTTCACGACCCAGAACCTGTGGAGAAAGAGCAAAGCGGTGAATGAAGAAGGTTTGTTCACAAGTCTGCAACTCTTGAGTATTACTGAAGAAGAACTAGTTGCTGGATTGTGTATAGTATGTTTGTGAGATACATCACATTGAATAAGATACTGAGCAGTTTTAAGGCAGTTGGTGTGAAGATATCCTCAAGAACTTTATATTATGCATTGGTTTCAGAGTTTTGTCTGTGAAATGGTCAGTACATTAGTTAAAGCCACAATATACTCTTGGGAGAAGTTTCTTCGCCAAATGTTCTTTGCTCAAGGGTAAACATCAGTTCGAAGTAGGCCACTATTCTGGGAACTGAGTGAAGAAATTAACCTGAAATGCTATCAAAGGCCTATCACCTATAATGCTATCAAAGGCCAATAGCAATTTAAAGGTGATTAAACACCAAAATGAACTCCAAAACATCTTTGCTTCGGCCAAAGTTTGTTTAAAATTACATCATAATCATTCGTTCTTTGACTTCACTTAAAGTATTTAGTCTACACACCTTTTACAGTAATTTCTTCATTGCTGTCTGTAGTCTTCATGGAGACTGATATGCCATTATGAGAATTAGCGATCACTTGGTTGCACACCAGTCTAATATTGTGGAACCATCGATTTCATATTAACTCCTGCCCATAAACATCACATAAAAAAAAAATGAACTGTGGTTGGTCATTTTACATGTTGGTCAGACATGTCCCACTAGTCTTTACATATTACTGCCATTGAACTCCTGAATGGATTCAGGAGTCAAGCTACAGCACTACCCCTGGTGTCAATCAAGCATTGCAATGATGCTCAAAGTCCAAACAACTCCATTAACGTATAATTGATGGTGCCACCTTGACAACAGACTGTAATGAGACCGTTTTGGCCAGAATAAACTACAACGTGGACCAGACTTTATGTTGATCAATGTGATGTCACAAACTCTTCTTCTTGCTTCTTACTTGAGGAAACACAAAACTAGGAATCGTGGTGTGTATATTGTGTGTTATGGCAGTGTCAGTGCTATGGAGGTCCTGGGGCTGTGTGGATCAATACCATCACACAGGCAGTCAGCCCAGTGCTGGAGGCTGAGGAGAGTCTGCTCTCGGCTCAATGCTGTCAATGACCCGGGAAGAATGACGGTGTCACCGAGTGGTCAGTGGCAGAGAGTAAGGGTTTTTTTATGCCTCTGGGACTACATCAATACTCAGATTTCACCTTCCTTCACACACTGATTAAAGAAATCACACACAATGTTTTCAGCAGAGTGATGTAATTTTTGTGGTAGTGTAAATACTGTGAAGCATTTCTGTTCATTTGAGCTCCTTGACAACTTCTGGTTGAATCAATGGCATGAGTTTGGAGCAAGACTACCTTTTGGGCTGAACAATGGCATATTGAAGGGGTGTCCAATCCCGTTCCTGGAGTGTCACGGTCTTGCAGAATTTAGCTCCAATCCCAATTAAACAAACCACCAAATCCAAGTATTTGGGCAACTTCTAGGCAAGTGTACTAGGAAGAGTGTGTTGGTGATTTTGCAATTGTGTGTGGTGCTGCTAGTGGCATAGATATTTACTACTCAGCTTCTCTAATTTCTGCTTTCCTCACAAGAAAAATTAATACACTGTTTCAAAAGTAAACTGTTTGACTCACAACTGGCTATTTATTTACCCCTTCTAAAAAAGCCAATGCCAACGTAACACTCAAACTTACTAAATTTGTGGCTATGTTCATACCAGAGTCTTGATCTTGGGAGTCTTGGTCTTGAGACCACATACATTGATTTGGGTTATGATCTGGATCTCTTGGAAAGCTTTCACACTAGGCACATTTGCTGCGATGAGTGTGGTCTGAATCAGAGTGCACTTGTTCCCGGTGCCCCTTACAGCGTTGGTCTGGTTTTAGACTCACTTGATTCTATTGAAACCCAGTGCATCTTGTGTCATCACAAGCTAGCATTATAGAGAACACAATGTTGGCCAATATATTTTTGTTTTACGCAGTTCCAAAATCTTAGGCCCTGTCCCATATGGCACCCTAAACCCTTGCGGTCTTCCTCTGAGTCCGCACTTTCGTGACGTAATGCCACTTTGACTGTCGGGTAGAAGTCTGCTGCAGAGCTCGCACCAGTGCGGGCTTGGCAGATGTGCGGATTGAGGGCGCATAACAGCCGCAAAGGAGGCGCTTGTGAGCACCCTTCTGAATGCTAAAATTACAAATGTGACACCCTACGGTCTTGTGGACTTAACGGACACACGCATGCGCACGTGGCAGCCATTGTAAGTCTGTAATTTATACAATCAGTGCACATGAATTGTTCCATTAGACATCCTCCTCTAGATAGCTTCACGGTTCTGTACCGTGGTGCACTTTCATATTACCAGTTTTTTTGCCTGTTTCAAACTAAACTGCTAGTGTGAAATCTCCCTTGGACTGCATCTACGGTGTATCTCAGCTTATGGTCTTATATAAGACTGGTTTGGATCTGGAGTGCAAGAGGTCTAGTTTAGAATTTTGGGAATATAGTTTTGGTCAGGGCATTGACTCCAACTCCCGACAGCATACATGTGTCTGGTATGTACTTTCTTTTGTTCCAATGGCTAATGAAAAACTTAGCTCTTCCATACCTTCCACAGTGATAGAATCACTAAGGCTTGATCATCCACAGAAAGGAAACTCTGAATGAGACAGACTTCTTTGTAACAGCTAGGCTCCCTTGCAAACATGATGTGCCCTGAGACCTGTGTGGTAATGCTTATCACGGGTATTTGTAAATGAGTCGATCACGGTTCTGCTCTAATTAACACAGTAATGGGACTGTAAAGAACATTTTCAGATGGAGATAGATGGGGCATTCCTGCGGTTCCAGAGAGGACAACCAGACATTGGCCGTGACACATGGCCGTGCCTGAAATATCTGAATACCGTTTTTCTGTCCAGACCGAACATTCAAGAATCGTTAAAGGAAATTGTTCTGAATAAGAATCATTCCCAACCCTAATCTAGAGCTACAGAGAGTGATGGGAGAAAGGCAGAGCGAGACAGGGATATCTGTAGCAGTAGAAGTGCTCATTCTGTTCTCAGAGGAATGATATGGGTGTCCCTCCCCGGTCTCAGCCCCAGGCATCAGCCTATTTCTATGCAAATAACAACTTCACGCTTCTCTTTCTATTATTCCTGCAGGAGCTGCAGCATCATGACGGGAGACAGAGAGAGAGACGCGGGGGGATGGCAGTCACTGAGGGGTGAATTATAAACCTACAGAAACACACACACACATTCTATCATGGCAGGTGACTTCTATTGTCTTTATACTGAGATACCAGTTTTTATACTGTCCCACAGTTTGTAGAAAAATAATTTCTGTTTCCAATAAAGCACATGGGGTACCTTGTTTAATTTTTTAAGCCTGAAATCAGTAGACCCCAATTACATAGTAATTCATATGTAACACATAAAAACTCAACAGTACAAACTTTACACACACATTTTTGGTTATAATTTATTTTACAGTGCGTGTACTTAAAGTTCTTACCCAAGAAATTACTGGGTAGTATAATATAACTACATGTGTTAAGTATAGGTTTAGAGGTAGGTTCAGGGATAGTATATAGTTATTACTCAGTTATTTTTACTGTATAAGCACACAATATGTACACGCGGAACAATACTGCTACCAAATTTTCTCATTTTGTGTTTTATGAAATAAAGTCATATGGGTTTGGAATGACATGAGGGATGAATAAATGATGAGAGAATTTAAATTTTTGGGTGGGCTGTTCCTTTAACATGTGCTTGAATGCACAGCCAACCACATCCAATCACAGTCACCAGTAAAATAAGAAACTGGCTGATTCATAAAAGTCATATTGTAACGCAGTTGTGGTAATTGCGTGAATTAGGGATTCATTTATTTGGGTCATAGTTGAGTGCACACAAGGCTTTTGGAGTTCACGCTAACCTGTCACAATTCCTGCCTCTGCCCAATCAAATTACTTCATGCAATTAAAAGAGAGGCCAATTAAAATGCCCTTATCAGCAGAGTGAACAGGCAATTTATGTGCAAATGCCATCTTTCATGGACGCAACTAAACAACAGAGAAGACCTTTGAAAGCATACAAGGCATACTAGGCGAATTATAAAACTGCTTTGAGGAGGCACAGTTGGCATGTAGTGGATTCTAACTCTAAACCAGAAAACACATTAACGGGTGCAGCTGCTGACCTTATTGAGAGCTCCAGCTCCAGTCAGGATGATGTGAGAGTTCTCCACCTGTATGGTTCTTTGGCCCAGTCTCACCAGATATGCTCCAATTCCAATGGCCCTGCATGTCACCTGAGCACCACCAAACACACAGATACTCAAAACACTACGGTGTTATGCTCACCAAAGCTGTATTTGATCAAAAATAAAGTAATAACAGAAATATTGTGAAATATTTTTACAATTTAAAAGAACAGTTTTCCATTTTACAAGATTTTAAAATGTAATTTATTCCTGTGATGCAAAGCTGAATTTTCAGCAGACATTACTCCAGTCTTCAGTGTCACATGATGCTTCAGAAATTATTCTAATATGATGAAATGATAACCACTCAAGTAATATTTAATATCATTATCAATTACGAAAACAGTACTTTTTCTGGAAAACCATGATATATATTTTTCAGGATTGTTTGATGAAAAGAAAGTGCAAAAGAACATAGAACATATAAATATATATCTTTTGCAACATTAAAAAATGTCTTTATTGCCAATTTTGCTCAATGTAACACGTCCTTGCTGAATAAAAGTTTTCCTTCCTTAACATTTTTTTTTTTACTGACCTTAAACATTTGAATGGTGAATATATATTGAAATAAAATTAAATCTTAAAATGTGTAAAGGTTTGCCATTACTAGACTAGTCTTTAGAGATACCTGACGGAACATCTCTGGAAAGTCATAGACATAGGTGGTACCGAGGCTCTGGGCCTGGAAGCGTTTGGACTGCAGGAGGTCTTTAGTGACGTAGGGTGTGTTGATGAGCATGCCATGAAGAGGACCCTGCTTATCTCCATAGGCCTGGAACATGATCTGATGACAGAGAGACAGAGGACAAAAGAGAGTCAGCCAGTCATTGGTAAAGGTAAAGAAATACAAATAACCATAAATAAATCTATAATTTTCCCCACGTCTAGACAAACATATAACAGCTGGCAACAATGATACAAACACATAACTCTGACAGTCACAATGACAAAAGATGATTTTGCAAACATTTAAAAAAACTATCAATTCTATTTAACTCCATGAAATAGCATTTTTATTTTGAGACAGAAAAAGTCAGCACATCACTGACACATTAAATTAAATGGTGACTAGCACAGTGACAAATCACTGAAAACCAACATTTGAAAAAATGAAACTGAAAATGTGCAACTGCTGCCTTAGTGCAACGCACAGTACCATTTATATGTTTGGACACACATGACTCAATTAATTTTTCCCATGATAAATATAAATAAAATAGATGCAATGTGATACTGCTTATTATTCATTATTAGTAATATCATAAACATCTACAATACCATTCAAAATCTGGGGAAAGTAGGATTTTTTATTTTTATTTTTTATAAATTGATTAAAAGTTAAAACTATTCTTTTGAACTTTCTATACATCAAAGAAACCTGAAAAACAATGGATTATGGCTTGCCCTAAAATATTGCAGCACAACTGTTTTCAACATAATAATAAGAGATGTTTCTTGAGCACCAAATCAACATATTCAGCAAATTCAGCTTTGCCATTACATTTAATTTCTAATAATATTACACAATATTACTGTTTTACTGTATCTTTTTTGATTAAATAAATGCTTATTTCAAAAGAAAAAAATCTGATTAACCCCAAACCAGAACTGTACTTTAAATATAATAATTTATAATAGTTTTTTTATAATTATATAATTTTAAATAAATAAGAAAAATAGTTTGACAATTTTTTTAATAAATGAAAGCAATTTTTTTTATTAATTATAAATATATAAATTGTGTCTACATACTGAAGGGTGTCAAATTTGAAGAAGACAAAATATAAGAAACTTTTTTTTGGTCACTGGATGATTCCCATACTGACACTTGCATTATTTCCCAGCTTTGACTTCACTGTTTTTTTTTTTTTAAATGTGAAGAATAGTCATCATAAAGAAAAGTAAAGAATGTGTGTCTAAACTTTTTACTGATAGTGTGTTTACTATTGACAGAAAATTGAATATTAATGATACAGCACATTGTATTCTTCACTACAGGACATTTACAGAACTAAAACAGGTTTTGTACATTTCAAAGACTGAACAGTCTTATAATTAAGTCTGTAACTTAATTAAGAGACCATTTATAATGGCTCTGTTCCAAAACCTAGGAGTCAAAATGTTAATAAAAAGAGTATTTTTAATAATACCTTTATATAGTTTAATTCATAAAAATATAAACTTATATTCAATTATATAAAACAAATAACACTGACTTACAAAGCCACTTTTTTCTATTCAATGACTTAATTTCAATGATTATTTGTCTATATCCAATATTTCCATTTAGGGACTCAATCACTGATATACAGTAAGAAATTACTAGCGATTAATTTGATTAATCAGCGTATCATGCAATGAATTTGATTGCAGCTTTTAAAAATGACAGCCTAAATTTCATACATGAGAGTACTGTCATTAGTTTAGCAACATGCTAACATCCAGGACAGTGAACATGATTATGCCAATCAAAAATCATTTCATTCAATACTGAGAATTACTACATTAAAATAGTCTAATTAAAATTGAACTGTGTGCACCATGTATTTTATATTTAGTATACGAGTACGCATTAGCTTCGCAACATGTTAATGTTCCTCTCTACCAGAACCAAAAGTGAGCTAAAGCCAAGTTTCTCATGCACTTCAGACAACTAGTGCTACTGGTGTGTCCTGCATGAACGTCTATGCAGAATGTTTCAGTTCAGTCACTTGTGAGGTTCCATTCCGGTTAAGATGCTGCCTAAGAAAGTAGCTGCCTATTTCGAGTGTAGACAGTGAGGCACCTCGACAGGTTGTGGAACAGAGCCAATGTCTCAAACATTCCACAACTACTTACATGGAACCTCTGGTCCACCTCACAGTTGACTTGCTTCCTGAAATCCTGTTAATAATGGCGTCAAGAGCAAAGAGGAAAAGACACACATGCAGTGGGTGTACTAGATTGGAGATCAGTTACTAAGAATTGCAGTTATTCAAATAAACATTCAACTGATTGCAGATTATTTCATTGAAATTTCGATTGAGAAGGAGTGACAGAGAGGAATCATGCTCAAATGTCATTCTGAAAGCATACCTTCTGAGCAACCAGGAAGGTAAGTCTTCGGATGCCATGCTCAAACAGCAGAGATTTCTGTGGTAAAAATGATGGGAATGAAAATGAACTCACTGCGAGTTTAACATTTCTGTGAACATATAGCGAACAGAACTCTGTTTCACCTTAGACTGGGTAAACTCGCGGAACATGGCCGCCAGTCCATCGTCATCAATGTCGCTGTCCGTCTTTATGGCCATATTAAGGATATGAATTGGCTCATCTTGAATGCTCTGTAGTAAGACAAACAAAAACAATATAAACTAGGGATAGAAAATAATAATTTTCCAAACAACAGCTTCCTTGCATCAATTCAATCTTCAATGCATCAATCAAATATTAATGTCTGATCTTATTATCTTTATTTTTTCCCTTTTTTTTGGACAGGTTCAGAAGATAAAAGGTTCACCTTGTTGTCCTCCTCTCCATACAGCACAGGGTTGCCCCCTTCAGGAAAGGTTGGAGTAGAGGGGGGTGAGTCAGAGAAACAGCTCAACACTTCCTTAATGTTCCTGTGAAAAGTCACGTAAGACACTCAACCAGCAAACGTATGTACATTTTGAGAAAACAGCTATAAAAGACAACATGAAACGCCATTCTCAAAATGTCACATTACAGGTTTAAAAGTATTTCAGATCGACACAACAATCAGTGTGCTGGGGATCTAGCTGGGATCTGATAGGTCTGCAATGAGGGTTTTGCAGTATACCCGCATTTAGGAAAACTGACATTTAGAAAATGAATATAGTAATATACTACAAATATATACTATATATAGTATGTAGTAATACTACAAATATGATAATATCGTAAATAACTTATCTTGTTGAAACTCCAAAATAGTTATAGTTATTAATAAATGTTATTACATTTCAATAGAAGAGTATGAAAAATATATTTATTGAAGTTTGTGTGTCGCAATAAGACAGTGGTGTTTATACTGACACCTACTGGTGTGGATGAAACATCATGCAAATGCTTTTCTCTTAAAGATGCTAAAAATACCATATTTTTAGATCTACTTGTCACCCTTAATGTACTAATTTAATTAATGAAAGTGTCCAACAATAGGGGATAACAAAAATAGAGTGATTAATCATGTGGTGTGTGTCTACTGTAGTCATGCGGTCTCAATATGTCCCCAAGACATGTGGCCCCAGTCCCACTCTTTTGTAGAACAAAATCAGTGAGCTTCAGACAATCTGGCTTCTCTCTTGTGTGAGTGTTTTAAACTTATTTTACTTGTTTATTTATGGGCTCGGAGCCGATCCTCCCTATACGCAAAATATGCAAGATGCGTAGGTCCCCCGAAACACCAGGGGGCTCCCTTGTTCTTAAATATGATTTAATTTTAGTTTCATTTTTGAATTTGGCCAGCGGTTATGAAAACATGAATGATCATTTCTTTTAATGCGGTGCGCTGTCGCCCTTTCTATGTAAAAATCAATCAAATCATGTAATGTCTTGCTCGAGACAAATAAAATTAGCTGAAAGAGTAATTTTTTGTTTCTCAAGCACTTTCCGCGAGCGTGATTCGAGACGGAGTGAAACACGGACAAATGGGTTTAATTCATTCGCTCATAACCCCCCAACCCCCCCCCCCCGACACAGTTTTGCATAGGGCCCCCAGAAGTCTAGGATCGGCACTGCATGGGTTACATTTTTTATGCAGATTGTGTGAAGTAAGATCAGTGTCATTTAATAAGCAAATAAACAGGAATATTTCGATTTCGTGTCTGTACTAAACACCTTTCCAATTACTGTAGACACACACTAACCTGGTGAACTCCTGGAAGGAGCGGAAGGAAACCATGGCGCCCATGCGCTGACAGGGTGGGGTGAAGGAGGTGTCTAGGAGCACATCACTAACACTGGCCATGTGGATCATGCCATAGTGGTTCAAGTTAGAGGAAAAGGACATTCTGAGAGAACAACACACCCGCACAAACAAAAAGGCATGTTATTAACACAGCTGCATACACCTAACTGCTAAAAAATGTGGCAGACCACCCCAGGAGAAAGATCAAATCATCACCATCACACCATCGGTCTAGATCAGAGGAGTGAATGGAAGCAGCATCGCCTCCTCACAAGCTGAATGTGAATTCACAAGATGTGTAAGATCTGAATGTTATAAAAGGGGCCAGTTGTCAGGAGGCAATTAAACCAGATGTTAAAGGAAAAAAGAAGTATGACCGAAACTTCACTATATGGGTGAATTCATGCATTCACTTTCATTGAAATTCATGGTGGAGGTACAGGTTAGTTAAGAATATTCCAGGTTAAACATAATCTAGCTGTGGCCTGCTGTTTACCATATCATAATTACCTTAATTAGTTGCCATCCCTCGATTTGAAAAAACAAAAGAAATGGGTTTATTGTGACACATTTACAATGGAAGTCTATGGGGCATGTTGGCAAAGCAGAGGTTCTTAAACGGGTCTGTGAAAAACGTGCAAAATATATTTTTAGCATTCTCAAAGTCAAGATATTAACAATGTTTAACAACCTTTTTTTCTTTTTAAAGTTTTAGATTCAATAGATTTGATAATATTACAATTTAATTCTGCTTTATAAAATCAGAAATAGTGAAATTAACTGATAATTTTATTTTATTGACGGAGCTACTTAAAGGGGTCCTATTATGCTTTTTCACTTTTTTAATTTTAGTCAGTGTGTATTGTGTGTATGTTTGGGCATAAAAAAGATCTAGAAAGTTACAAATCTCAAAGTCCACTCCAAAGGGAGATATTTCAGCCGCCGAACGGCGCCGCCAGTGTGCCTACACTCATAGAAAATAATGTATTTGAATTTTAAAGATGTGGCGCGACGCGACACTGTGCTTCTCGTCCAGTGCGCGACCGCCTGAGACGCTGTTTTTTTCACCTCCGTGCCCAAACGTCTTTGTTTGGGCTTCCGAAAGCGGATGATGTCAGGAAACAGTGGTTGCAATTTATTTTTTAACTCTGTCCCTGAGCATTATAACCCCAATTTGCTATTGTGTGCTGCACATTTTACTGAGGACAGGCTTCCACAACATGAGGGAGTACAGTGCCTGCCGGATTCGCCAAAAAGCTTTTGTTGAAAGACGGAGCAAGGGGGCGTGGCAGTACTGAAACACAGTCTAAGCTGTTCGCCAATCACAACGCACTGGGACAGCTAACCAATCACAACACATTTAGTTATTCACATTTAGAACTAATCGAGCCGTTTGTGCCAGGATGGGGAGAAAGGTATTTTAATAATGTAAATTATGTGAAAAATAATGTGTTTTTCACATTATCACCAAGCATGAGAGCATGTTCTAGTACACCCCCAAAACAAAATCAAGACTTTGTAAAAGAGCATAATAGGACCTCTTTAAGTATACTTAACTACTTAACTTAACTATAGAGCTTAACTACTTAAGTTAAGTATAGAGCTATGCACACAATTTTAACTAAATTAAAACAAGGTAATAAACTAGTCCATGATTTACCCAAGATGAGGGGGAAAAAATTATATGTTGTGGCTGCAATTTAACTAAAACCAGAGAACAAATCATAAAATATGGCCACAAATGAATCAGTCGTGGGAAATAATTTTTATATATTTTTTCACGCATGCTATGTGGGGCTCCATATTTATTAGATACACTGTTAACTTGATAAAAAGTAAATATTTTCCAGTTAAAAATAATAATATTATATATATATATATATAATTATCTTTTTTTTTTAAATTATTTACAACACCACATTTTTCACACACATTATAAAATGGGCTTTGATACAGTTCATGAAAATATACAGCTGCTTTTATATTTCAGGAAAGGTGTCCCTGCCAAGGGGATCATTATAACTGGGTGTCCATGGCATCAAAAATCCTAGACTAGATGGTATAAAAGCAGAAGTGTAAAATGTTTGATATTGCTGCAATGCTGTGAAGTTCTAGATGGTTTAAATGTTACTTTACGGTGCTGTACACTTTGGCCTGACTTCTACTGCAAGTGCTTTATTATTAATGCATTTTTCCAGATTTTACAAACTGAAGGACAGGAAGTCAAAATTCTTTCCTGTGGTAACATGCCGTAAGTGTTGATTTTAAGTTATATCTAACCCAGAATATTCCTTTAATAACACCCATAATTATAAGCCTAATCAGCACATCTACCAGAAATGTCAAAATTTCAGGAGGTGACAAGTCTCCTGTTCAATGTTAGTATCGACAGCAATCTCTTCCCTTAAGACTAATTAAAATATTCACACCCAGATATCAGATAGAACAACGGTGTGCATAGATTATTCTTGACCGATTAAACCCTGTCTGTGATTAAACCCTGTAGTCTGTCCTGCACTACCTGTCCTCACTCTCAGCAGAGTCACTAGCATCAGCTGTGATATCTGGAGGTTTGTAGTCCTGTAGTGGGGCAGACAGTTTCCTGGGAGGACAATCACATCACACAAACATACACACAACAGATTTAATCGCCACTAGTATGCAGTTAATTCAAACCCAGTATGAGGTCTAAACAATTTCACTTCACTTAACATATTACGGGAGTATCTTAATTTGCATGCACGCACACACGCGCACACGCACACACAAACAATATCATTTCAGACAGAACCACACACATTTGTGTTGAGAGTGGTGCAATAAGCCATGCAAATTAGTTCGTATTTACTGAGATCAACAGAATAAAGCACCAATGAAGAGCCGTTTTCATTAAAACACAAACTTACACACATAGTATCTGCAATCGTTTGATTCAAAATATTGAGAGACACACAAAAGCTTTGATCATTTGACTTAAAATACATATTTTATACATTGGCTATGTTTGAATAATCAAAAATAATATGTATAACTACTGCATAGTATGCACTGTACACTGACTACCATTTAAAATGTATGTGTTTGACCATTCTGCTCTTCTACTCTAAGTCTACAGTTTGGTTTAGGGAAGAAAGAATGTGTACCATACCTGTTTAGAGTGGGGATGTTCCCTCTGCAATCAAACAAGATTGATTACTGATTGGTTAGTGTCAGGCATCAGCGGGAGGAGTCAGTCAGAGATCAGAAGTGTGTGGCACTTTCACATAACTGACAGATCCAATCTAATTTCTGTGCGCTTATTTATGCACATATTAACTTGGACCAGCAGACTGCTGCTAATGAAAAGTGGTCCAAAGACAATTGTGTTGCATTTGCACAAAGTTTAATTGAATTATACAAGTGTCTCAAATGAGTCTCAAGTGATTATTTGGATGATGTTAGTGCATAAATGCATAACTGACTGACTTCGATCATTTCAGGGTAAATGTTACAAAACCTCTCAAAAACAAATCCTGATCACATTTCACCCCAAAATCAAATGGAAGAAATAATAAATTATATTTTCTTTAAAGAAAATGTTGGCTGTTTTAGGAGCTTTAAAACATTTTTAAATCTGCTTAATTAAGCACTCTCCCCTTTTCTTATTATTGCACTGTTTTGAATAAAAACTGTACTACATGTTATTATTAAAAAAAGTATTGTATTGCAGTAATTAAAAACTACAACACTTAAAATAACATAACATTACTAATAAGCTCAGAAGAAAAATATATTACATAATGACAAATTGGGAGGTGGAATTAATTATGACAAGGCAAAAAAAAAATATTAAAGCTTCTAAAGTGATGCTTCATATTTAATGCAAAAATAGGAGTGCACAATTCTCTACAGTTCAAATGTTTAGGGTCAGTACGATTTTAATACTTTTAATTTAGCAAGGACACCTAAACTGATAAAAAGCGATGGTTAAGACTTTTTAATTTGTTACAAAAAAAGAAAAAAAAATCAATTTCAAATAAACACTGTTCTTATGATTTTTATTAATCTATTCTATTCTAATCGAAGATTCTTCAGGAAAAAAGTATCAGTTTTCACAAAATATTAAGCAACTGTTTTCAGCATTGATAATGATAAGAAGTTACTTGTGTAATAAATCAGCTTTCAAAAGTATTAAAAAAAATCTTATTGACACCAAACTTTTGAATGGTTGTGTATATTGGTACCATATTGTTTATCACTCGATATTAGCGATTTTATTTATTGGCATCATTTGATATTGGTTACAGTATACACCAGATGATAATGGATATTTAATATGCATTTATTGCTTTCATTTACATTTTACTAAAGTACATTTTTGAAAACAGCAATTAATAACACAGTAAAAAGTAATACTTTGGTCTTAATCATTTTATATGATTTTATTTTACTTGACCTTTTTTTATACACACAAAATATTTCAGAATTGTAATTAATGGCCATTTATCAATTACCGGCCACAGCAATCCTGCCAGGATTTAACATCAGTGCATCCCTATATATATATATGTATACATATTAAAATCAATTTCCTACCTTGATTTTAGGGGTTTAAAATTGTGACAGGTCAGGGTTTTGTGAGATCCACAACACTTGTAATCTAAACCAAGCCACACACTTCACAAACGATCACCCCTCCATCACATGCAACAATTCAGCTCTCAAAACACTGCAGTAAATGCAGCTAAAATCTCTTTCATGTACTTTAACACAGTACAATGCATAAGCCACTCAGTTGACACAAATCACAGGCAAAGCAGCTGGAAGAGCACATGCTGGGAGTATGGGGAGATAAAAAAAAAAAGTAAAATATGACTAAATGCACAAAAACTAAATTGCTCAGCATGCATCAGAAGAGGCTACACTGAATCAGTTCACATGCATGAATCAACAGTGAATAAAAAAAAGAAGAGCACAAAGTGCAAGCTGGTAGACAGTCAGTCAGAACAATCGCTGAGCATGTCCTATTGGGCGCATTCTTTGCATTGTAAAAACCAGTGTCACCTGAAACGTGGCCAGCACAGACGAGAGACACTTTAAAGAAGAACTGTTTTTGGCCCTGTGATTCAGACCCTGTGTCACTAAATAATGCTTTTCTACTCCTATGTCATACAGACCTTCTAATCACAGCAGACATTAAATCAGTGGCATAGATTGTGCACAGGTAGAGCATTTTAAATGTGTGATGGGAAGTGGACTGTGGTACAGTGGAGGAGACTTTATGTCACAACCAACCAATATCTTTTATTCATGCAGAGAATTCAAACGAATATTTGCTCCAGTTTATAGTGTTTTGACATGTTCCTCCACAGTCCCGGTGAGGGGTGGGAGAGATAGGGGAAGCAGGGTTGCACTGCACCTTTAGGTACCTGTTAGGGTGAGATGTGGGCAGCATGAACTGGAACTCCACGATGCAGGTGTTGTCCTTCAGCTGACGGTGCTGGACGCTGTTGAGTTCATAAGCGATGTAAGCTCTACGAACATACACCTGAGTAAAGAGAAAGAAGCATGTTCTGCATCTTATACAGACAAAAATAAATACTTTTATTACTTTTATAATACAAATTCTTTGGATTAGACCATTCCTAACAGAGCATGCAACACAGCTTCTAATCCAGGCCCTTGTCATTTCTAGGCTGGACTATTGCAATGCTCTTCAGGCTGGACTTTTACCATCTGCAATCAGACCTCTGCAAATGATTCAGAATGCAGCAGCACGTCTTGTTTTCAATGAGCCCAAGAGAGCCCGTGTAACACTGCTTTCTTATCTCTGCACTGGCTTCCAGTCGCGGATCGCATCAAGATCAAGACATTGGTGCTTGCCTACAGAACAGCCACGGGCTCCGCACCCTCCGCACCCTCCTACCTCTGCTCTCTCCTACTCGTCTACATCCCTCCAGATGCCTGCGGTCGGTAAATGAGTGGTGCCTCATGGTCCCATCGCAGAGAGGCACAAAATGACTTTCAAGGACGTTTTCTTTCACTGTTCCTCGCTGGTGGAATGACCTACCAATCTTCATCCGGACAGCCGAATCCTTTACAATCTTCAAGAAACAACTGAAAACTCATCTCTCCCGTGAGCATCTAACTGCCGCCTCATTAATAAAATAAAATAAAAAAATTCTATGCCTTCACTTTTTCTATACTCTTATTATCCTTTATCCCTTTCTGTCCTAGATTTTACTATTTAGAATGATGACTAAAACCTTGTATAAGGGCACTTCTCGTGTTTATTGCCCTTGTATGATAAATCGCTTGTTGCATTCCTCAATAAGTCACTTTGGATAAAAGCATCTGCCAAATGAATAAATGTAAACGGATAAATGTAAAATGACAGAGTCTTACCTCTAGAGCAGCCATCCGTACCACCTGATTACTGTGGTAAAAGAAATTTGGTAGCACGTCAAAGATGGATGTCTCTGACAGGATCAGTTTCTAGAGAAAACCAAGAAAGACATCAATAATTTGACGATACACAATGTTTTAGAGAAAAATATTACAACTTAAATGTAGAGTGTAAATTTTTGTTCCAGTAGAGGCATCACATGAAACTTTAAGAATATACTACTGTTCAAATGTTTGGAATAAGATTTCGAATTTTTGTATGTCTCTTAAGGCTGCATTTATTTATCAGAATTACAACAGAAACTATTTTATGAAATACTATTACAATTTCCTATTTTAATATATTTTAAAATGCAATTTATTCCTGTGATGCAAAGCTCCAGTCTCCAGTCACATGATCCTTCAGAAATCAGTCTAATATGCTGATTTGGTGGCCTTTATTATTAGTAGTAACATTTTTTATTATTATCAGTGCTGAAAACAGTTGTGCTGATTAATTTGAATTAAATTAAATAGATTTTTTTTTTGCGGAAACCATGATATTTTTTCCCCCCATAATTATTTTCAGGATGGATAGAATGTTCAAAATAACTGCATTTATTTGATAGTGTAACTAGTTGAATGAATCAAACAATAAAATAAAAACAATATTTAACTACATATTAAATATTACATATTAACATTTGTATCAATGTATCAATTTATCATATTTTTATTATTCACCTGACAGTTAGAAAACTGTTAAAGTACTTACATGGCTTGTTCATTTTATATAATTATAATAATACATTACAAAATAATATGGTAAAGTGTAAAGTGTGTTTTAACGTCTGTGCTAAATAATTTGACAGTACTGTACTTAATTTATAAAAGTGCGTCTGGAGAAAAATGTGTTCTACATTTAAGGGAATAAATAATAAAGTTACGTTTATTAAAATTATTTGAACGGCAATTTAGAAAATTCTACTTCCTATCACTGCCATTCGAATTTCTTTTCAACATTTCTGTTAATGTAGCCAATTCAATTCAAATGACTCTTAATTAACTGAATGGGAGTCCTTTATTAAATTGTAAACTGTAAATAAATTAACAAAATGCTGTCCAGCATATGGCACTGTAGATCCAGCAGACCTACCTGCAGGTTTTCAATGCAGAACTGATGTCCGTACATGTCGATGGCAGACAGGAAGATGGATTCCACTTGATTGTGCCGTAGCTCGTATGATGGAAGGTGCGAGGCAATGAGAACCTGCCGTGCCCGCAGTGCCACCTTGGCATTAGTGGTCTTGCTGAGCTGTGTGAGTTCTGTGAGTATTGCCATGAGCTCATCTGTCAGAGTGGGATCTCGTCCACACAGCTGATCCTACAGAGAGAATTAAGTGACCAAAGTTTTAATCATATGACTGTCTAAATATAAATTTATTACTATGCTATTACATTGTGCAATCTACAAGAAACAACAACAACCAACATCCACATTTCCTGAAGTCTCTCTGTTTTGTGTGACTGTGTACTCACAATCAACATGGTGACCAGAGAGTTCTTCTTTGTGACTTGTGCATGAGAGAATATGTAGTTGAGCACATTGGCCATGTCCCCTTTGTTTTCCTCTCGTAGTGCAAATACACACTTGTCATAGTGACCTGATAATTATACACAAACGCAAACACAAATGAATAGAAAAATGTATTAATACAAACAAAATACACCTACGATATACAAAATAAAAACTGTTAATACAATGGAAAGAATAGAAAAGGCAAATATTCATAAAAAAAAATTATTAAATAAAAATTAATATTTTATTCAAATACCTTAAGTCAGTTATTTTATTAGAGGATTTTTTTTACATTTCTATATTGCTTTAATTTTAGTATTTCAACTTAAACTTATTTATTTCAGTTAGTTGTCAAAGCAACATTTCTAATTTTCATTAAAAAAAAAAATCAAATAATTATTCTATTTTATTTCAGCTTTATTTCAATCACCAAAAAATATTTTTAATAGCTTTAAGCTTTAATTAACAATAAAAACCCTGGCAATTATCAGAAAAATAATAATAATAATTTTAAAAAGTAGTTACATTTTAGTGAGAAAGGAGAGGTTTTCTGAATATATTGGTAGCAGTATCTTTATATTCATTTTCAATATTCACATGTGGGATCATTTGTTTCTATTTTCTATTTCTATGTATTAAATATTTGAATATTTTTGTATTTATTTAATTTAATACACCAGGGATGAATCAGTGTTACACTGCCATCCAGTGGTCACATGATAAAATAAGGCAACATCTTAAGTTTCCAGAAATATCTCATCATTTCTGGCCATATAAGAAGCAGTCTTACCATGCTGAAACTGAACTTCCACTCTTAAATACTGCCTGAGGAGGTCCATCACCACTGCCTTCATATGCCCTCTGATGCCACTGCGGTACCTGGGTACACAACACACACGAGAGCCAGTTAACCTGTGTGTCTTTGATTGTGTGTATGTAAATGTGTAGATTGTTTAAATTATTCACTAACTTCTGAACCAGCTGTACAATGCTCTGTGTGTTCATGAAGAAGACTTCTCTCTCTGACTTCCTGTTCAGCGTGGCAGCATGACTGTCCAGTATATTGGCAATCTGACATTGAAATTTGACAGCATTTATAAACAAAGGTCACAGTCTCGCAGCTTCAGAAAGACATGAACTCAAAGGACCCCAAGTAGCACCTGCTGGCTGGGAAACTGGCAGAGGACAGAGGTGATGTTGCTGGCGTACTGAGCCATTTCTTTCTTGATAGCCTTCTCTACAGCAGGAGGGATACGGCCTGAAACGCTCGTCATGATGTCCTGAAGCTCCAGCAGGGGCAGAGAGGGGTCCCTCAGAGTCTTCATCAGACGCTCCACCCATTCTTTCAGCTAAAACACACACACATCCAAATCTTAATGCCTATACATACCAAGAACTTTAAATGTGATGTCTAACGAAATTGACTTTTTTTAACTGCAGAAAAGTTATAATAATGACATATTCCTTTGTCATCCAATAATGCAAATAATAGTGGTTATTATTATTATTATTATGAAGCCGAAAAAGAAGAATAAAACTTCTCAACATTTTTTCACCTTATTTTTAAGTTGAAGGTGAAATAGTAGAATTCTACTATTCTACCATCAATATCATCAAGCTCTGTGCATTTATTATTTGTAATGAATAAAAATGTGGCCAAAAAAAACAAAAACTATGAATAGTCATTTTAAAGCCGTAGTTCTCAACCAAGAGCAAAATTCCAATCAAAATAACCTAATAATTTAAAATAAGACAAAATAAGTATTCAAATAAGCTAAAAAGATAAATAAATATTTCTTATTTTAATTGGAATAATAAAATCTTTACATTTTTCTAGGTATGCCAAGCTCTTAAATATATATACTGTATATACTCATAGAAATTAAGGATGAAACATTTTGTTTTTTAAATCCAGTATATTATAAACAAGGGGAAAAATCATGTAATTTAATTGACTTATAAAATGTATAAAAGCTAGGATTGTTAGACCTTTGAATATATTCATGGCCAATGGGGGCCTTTGATTTAAAAAGTTTGTGAACCACTGGTATGAAGTCTTATGATGTGGAGGAAGTTTCCTGATTACATCTGTTTCTCACCTTAGCACTGAAGAAGGGCTCTGGCAGACAGTAGCCGTTCATAATGTGCACTAGGTGATCCAGAGTGCTGTGGAAGACCCTGTGAAGCTTCTCTCCCCTGAGAGCCACACACTGAACACTGGGTAATGTTCCTGTAAACAGCTCCGCCTGAAACAGACACAATCATTGGAAACACTAAACCACTTAAACCTTCTAGAACTTCTGAAAGGGAACCTAACAGAAAAGTGATAACACATAATACATTTACACATGCATGTACCTGCTGTACTCTGCTGGGGTCGTCCAGCTGCAGTTTGCCGATGACACAGCCCGGCTCAAGCACTGCACCTGCTCTCTTCACGTAGTGAATACAGCCAGACTCCGAGGCGGTGAGGGTCATCACCATCTTCATCACCTAAAAGACACATATATCATGTTTAGAATGCGACAAACAAACAAGTATCGTTATAAGACACTTGCATATAGTCAAACTTCTCACTATCACAATCCACTTTTTTATTTATACAGGAAGTGCTTGTATAATTGACATGTAAAGGAACTACCTCACAAATCACTTTTTGTATTTTCAACATTACAGATGTGGCAAATTACAGTAACATTCTTTGTAGCAGCCTGGGAACATTTATGTCCCAATGGACTGGTGCACCCTGACTTCTGGAAATTAGGTAGAGCTGATTGATAACTCTCACACACCTCTATTTCTGCATAACACTGTCCAGCAAACATGTGTCCACCATCCTCCACAGTATACTGGATGAGTTTCCCAGCAGATGGCGAGCGCAGGAGTGAAGGATCATTCTCTTTTTCAAACACACACGTCTTGTTACCAATAATGATGCGATACCTAAAGAATAAAATAAAATGCATACTCAAATTGATTTCCTACAAGCAACTACAAACCCAATTCCAAAAAAGTTGGGACACTGTACAAATTGTGAGTAAAAAAAAAATTATTCACAATTTGTACAGTGTCCCAACTTTTTTGGAATCGGGTTTGTATTTCTGTCATAAACTTTTTACCATCTCTTAAATTAATCAGTAATAATATATGAAATAATTATGGAAAACGTTGTATTTGTATTCCTGGTTTAAAAAAAATAACATGTTAATTCTGCAATTAATACTTGTTGTATAACACGTTAAAAAATAACGCAATTAACACAGCATCATTTTGTTCAGTTGAAGAGACAACTGAAAAAAAAATGACCAAACACACTACATAAAAGGCACAGCTAAATGCTCACTTAATTTAATTTAATTTAATAAAATAAAATATTAAATTAAATTAAGAAGCATCAGTATCTGGTATCAGTGATACTGGACTGCATTGATAGTATTTAGTAAAAAGATGCCATTAAATAAATATTTAAAATACTGTCTTTATGCTGCTTCCACATTAATTTGGAGATTCAGTGTGAAAATATTTATGATTACAAATTTTAATGTTAGGTTTAATTACAGAAATCTATGCAATTAATTAGTTTTTTTTTAATCAATCAACAACATGAATATATGTTGTATAAAAAACTGACTGCATTGATTTATTGAAAGCATTATAGATGGCATTCTCATTTTTAGTTAATATAAGTGTCCAACATTTAAATGTAGTTCTAGACTTTAAATGATAAATCTACACTCTGAGCACAATGAACACACTCACATGAACAGCTCTCATAATGTTCTTGTTTTTACCGTCCTGTATTTACACTCAAAATCCTACCTGTCCACCTCCTCCTTCATATAGGTGGTGTAGCTGCTGCCGTCATACGAGAGCAGCAGACCCCCATCGCTCAAGCGATGAACATCCACCTCTGCCAAAGAGATATTCATGATGACCACATAAGAGTTAGGAGACTGTCTGGTCACCTTTAGAACATATTTGGTGCCCTCGTAGATCAGCTCAACATCCACTGTGTTCAACAGGGTGTGTGCAGGTAAAACCTGCCCTCTACAGACACACAGGAGAAAAGAGCAAAACGGGTGAGAACTTCCTATCACTGCAATAACATCTACATATATACTCATTAGAGCTGGGTTGTCAACTGATTACTCAATTTTCACCAGTCTTTATTTTTCTTTACTTTGATGAACATATATTGATTCTATTCTGCTCATGCTTGAACTGCAATAATTGTAATTTCACCATATCTTGTTAGTCGGCTACAAAAAAAATAAAAATAAAATAAAACTCTAGAGATGAGCATGTTACTGATGTCTCTTTTATTTATGCTAAATAAATAAATCTATCATGAAAACAAGTTATGACAGGCACTGTTTAAATGTTACATACTTATAAATGTAATTATACAATTAAAAAATTTATATAAAACTTATGTGCAATTTACATTTTTGAGTGTTGATTATTATATCTAAAAATATTGAATTTGCCGGTTGAATTGTTGTTAATTTTAACCTTTAATATTACCGTAATGTACCAACTGATAGGGCTCCCTGTATAGTTTACAGCGTTAGGTGAGAGATCGTTTTCCTCAAGAAAAACTGACATGTACTGTATGTCCAAACTAATTAATATCCATTAGAATCAAACCAAAATCATAACAGAATCAAAAGCTTGTCAATCGGAATCATGAAATTACCCAGCCCTAATACTCATACATTTGGACTATATACAAACAATACAACAAAAGTATAATAATTAAGTGTGCTCTCAAGATGCTATGTAAAATGGTTTGTTACCTCTCCAGTGAGTGCAGGAAGTTGGACACACTGTTCCTGAGGTTGACATCAGCCACATGCAGAGCTCCACTCACTACTCCCAGCATAGTGTCAGGACGCTCGGCCTACACACACACACACACACACACACAGTTACAATGATGTGAGGAAATGTAACGGTGTCCTGCTGTCACAGGTGATTATATATGACTGAAAATGGCTGGAAGCAATAACAGCCACGCTCAAGAGAGTTGTGATGTGAAACGAAGATGGTTGTTTCATGCACCTGCATCTTCTCAGAGATGAGTCTGTCCAGCCAACCCGTGTCGATGCTGTTGTGCTGGAAACTTTCTGTTTCTAGCAGCTTTATGAGATACTCCACTGTAGTCCTGAAGTCTCCTCTGATAGACAGCTCTTTGAGGGCCACCACCATGTTTCTAAGATGATACATACAGCAAAACAAATAACATTTCTCTTGTTATCTTTTCCTTGGTGATTAAATGCAGAGTCAACTGCAAGTAAACCATTTGTAGACATTGTATATTTTACAGATGTTTCCATTTGAAATAACCGTGTAGTGGTGTAAGGTGATTGGGTAACGACTGCTGTGCTCTACTCTTCTGAAAAACAAGATACTCACGAGATGGCCTCCTCACGGTTCTCTCCCCAGGAGAAGCAATGGCCAAACTGAGAGTCTGCAAACTCATGCAGACCTCCAGCAGCCGCCACGCTGAAGTAGCCCCACACATTCTTGTTACTGCGGAAATTTAATTCCTGGACAGTTCCTGAGCTGGGCTTAAACCCCTGACACACCAAAAAATACCCAACAGAGACAATACATCAGCAAAAGTTGTTTACATGGTTATATATTTTATATTATTTACAATACTATTCAAAAGTTTGGGGTCAGCAAGATTTTTAAATGTTTTTGAAAAAAAATTTCTTGTTCACCAAGGCTGCATTTATTTGATAAAAATAATAAAATAATAATAAAAATAAAGTAAAAACAGTAATATTGTGAAATATTAAAATATATATTTAATATATATATATTAATAAAAAAGTAATATATATATATACACACACACACACACACACATATATATATATTAGTGCTGTCAAATGATTAATCGTGATTAATCGCATCCAAAATAAAAGTGTTTGTTTACATATGTATGTGTACAGTGTATATTTATTATGTATATATAAATACACACACATGCACGTATATATTTCAGAAAAATATGTTATTTTTATATATTAAATATATTTATTTATAATATAAATTATATGAATATAAATATAGACATGTAAATATTTTTAAACTATATACTGTATGTGTGTGTGTGTATTTATATATACATAATAAATATACACAGAACACACATATATTATGCAAACATCGCGATTAATCGTTTGACAGCACTGATATATAATATATATATATATATATATACATACATATAAACACACACACATATATTATATATATACATACATATATAATGTTTTAATACATTTTTGAATGTATTAAGCTATTCCTGTGCTGCCAAAGCTATATTTTTAGTAGCTTTTACTCCAGTCTTCAGTCTAACATGATCCTTCAGAATTCATTCTAATATGCTGATTTGTTGCTAAAGTAACATTTCTTATTATTTGAAAACAATCAATGTTAAAATCAATTTGTGCTACTTATTAATATTTTTGAGGAAACCATGGTACATTTCTTAGGAATCTTTTTTGAATAGAAAGTTCAAAAGAACAGTATTTAAGTCTTACAGTAGAAGTCTTTTGTAACATTGTAAACTTCCTTATTTACTTATCCAATTTAATGCAATCATACTAAATAAAAGTATTTATTTCTTTAAAAAAAAATTCTAACCCCAAACCTTTGAATGTTAGTGTATATTATATTACATTACATTCTACTAATATAATAAATGTTGGACAAAAGAAATGTTCGTCAAGGTTTTTTCCAGCTTCTGTCCCTTAGAATTAAACAACCCATTCCTTGTTGCTGTGTTTTAAGACTTCTCTAACACTTCCTTCGCATGTGAAATCAACATCAGAGTTCATTCAGTTTGTACATTTTGATACTTTAAATATCAGTCAGGATCACACACCTCATCTGGGTTCTCGCTAGTAATTCGAGCTGCAATGACATGTCCTCGTGGAGAGGGGGTGGTGGAGAGGCCGTCAAAGTCAAAAGGGGAGTCTCCCCATGGCTGCATCCCGTACATCACCCTGATGTCTTTAATGCGGTGAAGTGGGATGCCCATAGCGATCTGAATGACAGAACAAAAAAAAAGCACTATCAAATTTCACTGTAAAAATCTGCATACATTTAAAACAGTCCACAATCTCTATGATATTCTGGCCCTTTAATATGAATAAAATATGTAGAAAAAGAGAAATTAGTTCATATTTCTTCAATCATTAAATATGCACTTTTCCCTCTAATTTCTACACTTCCTTGGTTATGCAATTGATGAATACATCCCCACTGTGTTTCTCTCCCCCTGTTGCCCTTTGTCAGTCTCTCCTTTTCTCTCTCCATCAATTCCCCTCATTCATCTGCAGCAATCTTTGTGTGTTACATAAGTGCATTAACCCCCCTCTCCCACCCCCACTGGACCCATAGCACACTGGCCTCAGCCAAGAGACCTACATAGCAAAGACAGTGGTCACATGACAAAGAGTCTGCCGCAGAGACAGTACTGTATTGTTCACTAGATACTGCCAGTCTGGCGATTGATTAAAGCAATATTTTAGGTAAATGCAACCTTTTGTTCTATTGGCAGCATCTGTGGCCTGTTGATGATGACCACAAAAAAATACAAAAGGAAAAACAAAGGAAAAATGTACAGTAATGTACTTACAACAAGGCGACTGTAGCATATTTTTTTAAAAGAGAAATTAGTTCATATTTCTTCAATCATTAAATATGCACTTTTCCCTCTAATTTCTACACTTCCTTGGTTATGCAATTGATGAATACATCCCCACTGTTTCTCTCCCCCTGTTGCCCTTTGTCAGTCTCTCCTTTTCTCTCTCCATCAATTCCCCTCATTCATCTGCAGCAATCTTTGTGTGTTACATAAGTGCATTAACCCCCCTCTCCCACCCCCACTGGACCCATAGCACACTGGCCTCAGCCAAGAGACCTACATAGCAAAGACAGTGGTCACATGACAAAGAGTCTGCCGCAGAGACAGTACTGTATTGTTCACTAGATACTGCCAGTCTGGCGATTGATTAAAGCAATATTTTAGGTAAATGCGACCTTTTGTTCTATTGGCAGCATCTGTGGCCTGTTGATGATGACCACAAAAAAATACAAAAGGAAAAACAAAGGAAAAATGTACAGTAATGTACTTACAACAAGGCGACTGTAGCATATTTTTAAAATTTTTTAATTAAGGTATAAAAGTAGAGGATTTGCATTACTGTAAATGCATCTATCCTTTATTTTTACAACCCGATGGATGAGGGAATAATGGTAAAAGCAATAACTAACTAAATAAATAAAACGGCAAAAGTAAAACCTGGAATGAATGAATGAACGAACGAACGAACGTTGCATTGCGTTTTTTGTTTTGTTGTGTTTTGTCTTGTTTTGGTTTGGCCTGGCCTGAAATATTCCTTTAAAACGCAAATTCTCATACAGACCTGCAGTTGGGCCGTAGGCAGATTAACATCAGCCACCATCTCAGTACAAGGATGTTCCACTTGAAGACGAGGGTTGAGCTCTAGGAAGTAAAAGCTGCCGTCTTGACTGTAGAGATACTCCACTGTACCTGCACTCACATAGCCCACCATCTTCGCCAGCTTCACTGCACACTGAAACAGACAGACGCACAGTTCTTCATTTCTACACATTTATTTTTTCTGTTTAAGTAACCCAGAGTTTCATGATGGCATATACTTTATTCATTCTTTTAGGAAAATATAGTATTAACATCGGACTTCTGCTGAATCTGATGTGATACCACAGTCAGTCATACCTTCTCCATATCCTCAAACACATCAGAGGTGGCAATAGTAGCCGGAGCTTCTTCAATGATCTTCTGATGCCTCCGTTGGACGGAGCAGTCACGGCCAAACAGAGAGATGGCGTTACCGTACTGATCAGCCAGGATCTGCACCTCCAGGTGGCGAGCGTGTTTGGCCAATTGCATGACAAAGATGGGGGAACCTGGAACCTCAGTTTGAACCTGAGTAACACATAAGGAAAAGTACTGTGGTTAGTTTTGGAAAGTTAACAGGTCGGTAAAATTGTAGTGTGGCGGTGAAGTACAACTCTGACCTGTCTAAAGAGGTTAGGGAAGTCTTCTGCACCATTGACTTTCCGGATACCTTTTCCTCCTCCGCCTTCAGACGCCTTCACCATCACAGGGTAGCCTATTTCTTCTGCCGCCTGTCAATCAAAACATGCTCTATCACTGACTGGACTAAAGTATGAACGTCACACTGTGCTTGATGTAAGTGCATAGTATACCTTAAGTCCAGCCTCCACGTCATGTACACAGCCCTGCTCGTACAGCTCAGTAGGGACATTAATAATTCCTTTCTTCTGGTCATTCTCTGTCCATTCTACAGTCAGCCCTGTACAGACACACCAGCATGGTCAAAAACCAAACCCACAATCAAGATGGTAGTAAATGCTGGACAAAAAGGGGGTGTGATAGGTTTAGAACACCTGCCAAATTTAAACTCACATGACGTATATCATAATATACACATTTTGATGTTGATCTTATTATGCATTCTGTGTCTGACAGAGGCAGTACAAGCACAGGCAGGAGGGCTACATATAACATGACAACAGGACTTCCAGTCAGAAATTAAGTTAAATAAAGATTCACAAGCCTTCATTACACCAGAAAAAGTGCTTCATTTTGAAACGGACATCATTGAAAGGAACGATAACAGTTCAGTAAGTCAGATGTTGAACTAACCTGTTCCACTCCAGGGTAGCGTAGGGATGCCAGCTGTCTGGGCCACAATAGAAGAGGCAATCTTATCCCCAAGAGCCCACATAGCCTGACTAGGTGGACCTAATGAAAGATACCAACCACTAAAGTAAGAGCAATACCATCACAGTATGTGAATAATTTTATCAATGTGGTGTGGTAAGGCTCAGTCTCACCCATGAAGGCGATGCCATTCTTGTGCAGCAATTCAGGGAGTTTGGGGTTCTCAGAAGCATGACCCCAACCGGCCCATACGGCCTAAAGACAGGTACATTTACATTTAACAGACAGTTTTATACAAAGCAACTTATAAAAAGAGGAACACAGCAATTTGTCAAAGAGCCAACAAAATTCGTAATATACAATGCCAGGTTCATTAGACAAAAGCAAGTTAGAGAAGAGGAGAAATGCAGAGAAGACAAAAGTGAGTGCTAGTAAAGGGTCTAGCTAATCATGAGCAATAATTCCAATGCTTGCCTCAGAAGACGGATTCCCAAAATTATTTGTCAGCTAAACCTTTTTCTTGAATTATCCCCCAATATCTCAATAATAATTTTAACAATACATTCACATGTTCACAGTTCTCTGATGTCGGTTAATGGCCACATGACATGCAGGAAAACAAATATTTTATCTTTTTTATTATTATTATTATTACGTGTATTATATTTATTGTTTTATGTTGATATTTCATCTTATATAACCGTGATATGATTAAGATGTAATTTCTTGAGAAAAGAATCCTACAATGCAAATATTCTTTGTTGCTTTTATATTACTATTTTTTTAACTCCGATTTAAAAAAAATAAAGACAGAAACATATTACTATTGTAATAATACAACTCTGCTCTAAAACAATAAAAAAACAAATTTGATAAATATAACACTTTTATTTCACAATAAGTTACAATATTAATTTCACACATTAATTGTGCAACCTGATTTAAGTGTTAACTGAGTTAATAGCCACTTTATTTGCTTTGAACAGCAGCCATCAAACCTCACATGCATTTACCTGAACGGGAATTCGTTTTGCTATGTCCAAAATGAGTTCCACATTAGCATAGTTGTTGTTGTTTGTCCCTCCTGGGACAGGTACATAGTGATCTGCCATCTTGATGTACTCTGTGGACAGAGTTATACATATGTTTAACTAAGTATTTAATTGAGTGCATTTGAGATTACAGAGCTATTCACGAATAATTTTCACCTCACTGAACTCTTTCTATGCTACTTAGGCCAGGCCTGCGCCGACAAAGCCTACTGACATAGTTTAAACAAGACATTCCTTGCTAAATACATTTGCCAGTGCAGCATGGCTTTTCCTGGATTACACTATGATGGAGCCAGGAGTGGCGAAAGGTGTCCTCCAGCAATTTTTTTTAACTCTTACGACGTAACAGTTAAGCTCAGCAATTTAAACACACCTGCATTGGCCTTGAGGTCCTCCGGGGTAACCATGACGACAAAACGTATGGCCCGTTCATTCCGAAACATTTCATAAGCCCAGCGACGGATGGAACGCATGCACTTGACTGCAGCAATGCCATTGTTGGCAATGAGCACCTGTCACAACAAAATATGATATTCACAGCTGTCACTGCACCAGGATTGTTTATAGTTAAAATAAATAAAAAATCTGTAAAAAAAGAAAAGAAAAGTGAACTGAAATAAAAAAAAAAAATAAAAAAAATCTTATTATTTCTTTATTTCAACTAGTGTTAATTTCGTTAACGAAAACTATGACGAAAAATGTTCGTCAACGAGTTTTTTTCCCCTGACGAAAACGAGGCGATGAAAAGATGATAATAAGGTCATTAAACGATAACTGAGACTAAATGAACATGCAATATCGTTGACGAAAAAAGACGCGACTAAAATGTAATTAAAAGAACAAAACCTTTACCAAAACCTTTTTATTTTTGTTGGAAAAAGTGGAGCCAAAACATTTCAGACTGCTGTACAAGATTCTATTATGCAAGCATTCATGTTTGTGGTTGCCAGATATCAAGACACCAATCAGAGCTTTTCTGTTAAACGGATACGTACTAGGCCTGGGCGATAAAACGGTATCGATATTTATCGACGGTACACCTTCTTCGATAACGGTATAAAAAAATGCTCGATATAGTGCACAATATAGGCACGTGCTATGAGTGACGCAGACAGCACACACAAAATGCTGTGCCTGCCTGTGATGAGGAGATTGTGAATAAAGAATGAATATTAGTCAAATTTAAAATAAACATTTGCATTTGAATGTTAGGTGTGCATCAGGTAGCGTCATCAGTGGCGCACGAGACGCAGTGATAATGATGTAAGTGACGTTGTTGCATTTTAATGTTTTGTTAGTCTTGCCCACGAGACGCGCCGCTGCTGAGTTATTCATTCAAAATATTAGAGAAATATAGAAGGTCAATGCGGAGAAGATCTTGATTAGGTTAAAACCGAAACCAAGCCATTCACACAGAACGCATATTCAGCGCATTTTTTTAGATGGACAAATATGACTGCTGCACTCGCGTCTCACACAAAAGATGTAGCCATGCAAAGTTAAAACAGTTTTAACTTTTAGAAAACATGTCGCGAATTTTTGTAGGTTTATTCCTTTTCACTGTGTCTCTTATGTTTTTAAATGCAATCTGCGTGATGGGCGATTTGGCTCTTTGTATTAAAGGTGACATATCATGAAAATCTGACTTTTCCAGGTTAAGTGCTATAATCAGGTCCCCGGTGCATCTACTAACCAAGGAAACTCACATGGTTTAAACCTAGGGATGTAACGATTCACGATTTTGATTTCACGATTCGATTCACGATTTTTTTTTTACAAAATTAGATTTAAGACAAATTATAAATTAAATGTGTCCTTTTATTATTGCTTAGACAAAATACTGTACGTTTCTTTGTGAAATTGAAATATAACACTATAATAATATACTAATATAGCACTTGCATATTATTGCTCTTTTGTTGGTTTTGATTGCTTCTATTGACCTCATTTGTTAGTCGCCTTGGATAAAAGCATTTGCTAAATAACAAAATTTCAATTTAATGTATATGTAAATAACAAAACTAAATTGAAAATTTAAAACAAGCCCCAAATCAAATAAATAACACAAATAAAATAAATCTCTTCATATAAACAAA